AAAAAAAAAAAAAAAAAACCAAAAAAAAAAAAAAAAAAAAAAAAAAAAGGTATCCGGATAAACCTTTCATTTCAAATTAACTGCCTTCAGTCCGATTACTGCGCGTTGTTTTGATGAAGTTTTGATAGTGGAGCGCCAAATCATATTCTTACAGTCGGATTTTATTTGTAAGGGGACATTTACTCACCCCGGGATGTAGCAGGGACCCGGTGAAAGCAAAGATTTGACTTCACGGGCATATTCAGACATGTTGGAGCAACAGGTGTTTGGATCCCAGCCTTTCTACGCCGTTTACTGGTTGCTACAGAGGAATTTAAACCCAAACACACGGATGGAGCTGTGGGTGACAGAACCAACTGACGTGAGCTACAAGAACGGAACAAAACAAATTTAAATGAAGCAAATAGGGATTATTTAGTATTTCGGGAACGCGACAAACCCTCAGTCGAAGTCATTTTAATGCACATTTTATCGAGTTCCACTAAAATTAAGGTTGTTAGTTTCTTATTCTTCGGGATGTATTCAGATGTATTAGCAAATAGTTCTAGAACAAGGCCTCCTTTCAGTTGTCAAATTATACAATTTTATATTTTTTATGAAGACTTTAAACGGACAACATCACAAACAGGAAACCAGTTTGGAAAGAAATGTCTGAAAATTGCTCAACTACGACCCCTGGTGGATTTTGGCTTAAAACAGCAAATAAGAAAAAATTCCATCTGCCTCAAGAATTGAGAATCATATTAGTATTTTTATATGCATAACTTTTAGTGATATAGTTAAAAATAAAAAAAGTAAAAATTAAAACTTTTTGTTTTTGAGCAAATTCCCAGTTGTTGGTGTTTGAATGGATGAATATGCACTGAATAGTGTTTTAGACCAAATAAAAATGTTATAATTGCCATCTTGACTGCTTCTCAGATTGTAATTCTTCTTGTCCAGCATGTCGGTTTTGGAAAAAAAGCCATGCCTTTGTATGTTTACAGTTGTTCTTATTGTTTTATGAACCATTCCTTCTTTGCTCTTCTCTACAACCTTATCCCTGCTTGCTTTGTTCTTTAAACCAAGTATTTACAATAATACTGTCAAACCTCAAATACCTTCATAAAACTGTTAGATTTTTTATTGAACTTAAATAAAACACAAAAGGAGTATATATATATATATATATATATATATATATATATATATATATATATATATATCTCTCTTCACGGTAATCTTTTTTGAAGGGGGGGTCACAAAA